TCCCTACATACACTCTTTTTACTTCATCATCCCAAAAACAGCCTCAACTGTTCTCTTTCCACCCTCAAGTGTTGCGCACTACCTAAGAAATATCCACCTTTCATGTGATTTGCCTCTTTAACTTTTGCAATGCCACTTAAAAGTGAGCAGCCAACTCATTTTACGCATGCACCAATTAAGAAATTTATAAAAATTAGTATACACATTGATTTTATACTTTTCATCTTCTCCACAAACAAGGGACATTCAGCATAAGGCATGCAACATTAAAACAAATAACGAACAAACCATTTAAACAAAAACAAGTCTCATCTCAGGATGTATCCTTTTAAGGAAATGATTTATAGGCGAGCAGAGGAAAGCTCAAACTTGTCTCCCATACTGAGAAACAGTTATGTTAGCCTGGAAGACCACATCCAACATCCTGAAGGAATCCAAATGTAACCTACCCATTGACACTTCATTCCTCCTCTATTCTTTTCATTGTAACTTATGCGCCTGATTTCTACACCTGGCTAGCATATTTGTTTAAAAAAAAACTGCCAGCCTATACAGTCTGGAAAACAGCAAGACAAACGGAAGTTTGGACTTCACAGAAATGATGCCTTCCTGCTTCAGTCTACTTCCAAATAAACAACAAAGGGAAAGAAAACCCAAACCCTCAAAGATAGAGAAAAGCCTTTTAAAATGAATAGATGTACCTGACTCAATAATTTTAATAAGTTTGTGTTTATAATCTTTAAAAAATAAAATCTGCAGCAAAAATAACTTAACTACTTTATACATGGAAAAAACTTCTATGCATTCAATAGTTAGTCTAGTTTGCAGATTTTATTCAATACAATCTCTCACTTCATTAAGAGGACTATGAAAGAATATAATATTTTACTAGATACACCATACTCAGAAGATAGATGTTACTTATATACACTAAACAATTAAAAAAGCTTTAAATCATATATTCTCTTTTAAAAATACATTTAGCAAGATTCATCCCATTGTATTAGGCACGGAACACAAGATTGAGAGGAATCACCATGACACTGTGAGCTTTTGTTTTACCCATTAGTACATTTTCTGACTGGAGCACTATCTTGTTTGAGTCATAGGATCTTTGAGAGCCAAAATTCATGACAAATTCTTAACAACGGAGTAATTTAGGTGTCTTCTTAACAATGGTGTAGTTTAGGCGTCTTCAGTGAAAATGCAAATAAAAATCACCTTTATGTCAGCTTTGGTTCCTGAATGTACTACTATTATAAAAGTAAAAAGATTATTCAATAACCCTAATAGATTAAAAATATGCCAATCAAATACATACAGAAAATGCTTTCAAATGCAGCCAATTTCTCTTTTTCATGACCTTTTATCCAGCAACCACAGAGACACTAACAAAAAAACAAAACAGGAAAGCAAGGTTGAAAACCACAAAAACTGGCCAGGTGTCAACATATGAGAAGCTTTTGGTTTGCTTTTTTTAAATTGACAACACTTTAATTTGACTGTCTTTTAAAAAGATGTCTTGAAAAAACACTTCCAAACGACTGCTCCTATCTTTATAATACAACTTTAACAAGTTATCTACTTAGATTAACGTAAACTTCTTTGGAAGCAAAGAAGCTAAAAAAAAATTAACAGTACTAACTCACCAAGAATTAAAATTATTAAGGATGTTAAATTGCTGTAGCGAAAGCAAATATCTGATCATAGGGCTGAGCAAATGAATATATTTTCATTTAACTTTAAACTAGGACATGCATATACATAAAACATTGCCAGTAAATGAAACAGGGTGCACTGAAGTCACAGAGAAGATGTAGACTTTAACTTGCAATAGCATGAAGCATTAACTACTAGAATAATGCTTCCAAATTTGTGTTTGTTCATTTAAGTTTCCAATCTTATTTTCTGCTGTATGTCAGAATCAAGTTTGTATAGGAAACATATCTACCAATTTTAACATAGGAGACATGATTCTTCAGTATTCATTTCTCCAAGCTTCAAATCTCATCAGGTAGCAATAAAGCCAGCATTACTGTTACTTTCTGAAATACAAATTTCCGAGATCCTAAAGTAGTTATAGGAAGTTTGTGCTCTGCACTACTATGCTTTGCCTCTAACACTTTCCTCTCCAATCATCTCACAAGAATGGCTTCAATGACATTAAATATGGTAACTGCATCTTTTTCAAAAATTGTGAGCTTCACAAGACACATCATCACATCATCACTGTTACCCTTACACAGGACCTGAAGTAGGTAACTGGAGAGAAGAAAGTAACTCGTAACAACTAGATACAGTTACCAAGACACTGTTTGAATGACTATATAGTGCTTATTGCAGGCCTTGTTTTTGAAAAAGTGACATTGAAACTGGCTTCAATTTATTGCTAATCATAAGCAAAACCACAAGTAAATTTGCGTTTCATACAACATAGGGAAGTCAAAATAAAACCTGTTTATATAATGCAGTCATTTATGTCAAGTTTCCCTTACTATAAAAAGTTCTCATTTCCTTTGTAATGTAATGACTTCTGTACATACTACAAATGGGTTAGTAAAAGAAGAATCCATTGGCTCAATGCTGAACAATTCTTCCAGAAGTTCTGGTAAGAATACATCTTCAGTGAAAACATTCTTTTATATACTTACTAAAAAAAATCCCAGAACATTTATTAAAATCTTTACTTACACTAAGATAGTTCAAACTGCACACTTTGTTCCTTTTAGGTAAACTATTCTAAGTCTCTTAACAATTGGACAGTCTTTAAAAAAGTCCTTAGATATTAAGCAAGCTTCAGAGAAGTTATCAAGCATAGTAGGGCTATCACAGTATACTCATTACCTATAATCATTGCTAAAGATCTGGAAGGAACATATGTATAAAGCAAACATAGCAGTGACATCTACAAGAACTCAAGATACTTAACCACTTCTAGCATCATTCACCAACTGTAAAACTATATTGCAACCCTGCCTGTAAGCTCAGGTACAAACAGAACAGTAGGAATCCAGTCCCTCATATGCTTCCTCTCCATCTCCCGTTTCCCCACCATCGCCTTTGAAAAGGGAAGACTCTGGAAACAGTGTCATGCAACTTTAATTTGAATAGATCTAAAGATACATCACACATGGCAGATGCTAAGTACCACAACACAGAACAACTTCTGTACCCCTTTCCAAAGCAAAACCACAGATTTTGTAAGGAACTTCCTGAAATATCATTTAAAAAATATATATTATGTAATAATATCAAATATTAAAAACCTCCTTACTCATCACCAAAGGAGAACACACAAAGCAGAGATTAATCCCTGCTATCAGAATTGAATTACTGCAAATCAAGAATCCATTAGGTTTCTCAGAAGATTCTCAGCACCAGGCTAACATTATTATCACCTTATGCTAACATCACACAGTTTCTCAAAAATACGGATATTGTTTTGTTACATTTCATCACTTGTGAAAGCACTAACTCAATATCCATCATGGGTCCCTCAGTTTTCAGAAGTGGGCTAGAGAGGTCAAGCTCTGGCCAGATAAGAGTCTCCCTCTGCTAGATGAACAATTACATATTGTAAGGCCCTCTGAACAAGTAATTACAATGAAATGAATGTTTTATGAAGGAAATGGACTCAGTTTGAAAGGTCACATAAAGTGACAGATAAGAACACATAGTGGAACAAATCCAGCAAATTACTGCTTGACCTGCAAGGTCAACAAATTCAAACAATAATATTTCTGCTCTTTAAATAATTAAAAATGTCAAAACACAATGGCCACAAACACTGTTAAGAATGCAGACAGGCAACACAATCTACTTTATCAATATTTCACTTACCTATCCTGTGACTGCTCCTCATACATTCTCTCTTTTCCTTCTTTGAAAAGTCTTATAGCCCGTTTTGATTTTTTCATAAGACTGTCAATGTAGATTTTAAAATATTCATTCTCACTGAGTTGTGCAAGTTTCTGGTTGTCATCGTATTTGCTCAGTATAAGTCTCAAATGTTGATAAGTGTCTGGTAAAATGTCAAGTATGTAAGGCGGGCTGTTTTTCAGTTGAAGCTTTGGATTTTGGCACAGTCTTACCTAGAAGTAAAAACAAGAGAATGTTTAAAGAGAATAAATATGTTGGGGAAAAGCTAATCAGATGTATTAAAATTAATAGGTGCAAGCATATTTCTCCAACCCCCAGGCACAAAGAATTAAATCCTACTTCAAATATATCCCGAGGAATCTCAGTAGAGTCTCTACTGTCAAAGGTATGTGAAAATAATAAATAAAAATAAATAAAAATAAATAAAAATGCAAAAAGCCTCACTTCTAAAGAGGTGACTCCATCTTTCTCCACATTTATGTAGTTTGGAGTTTTGTTACTGTCAAAGGTATGTGAAAATAATAAATAAAAATAAATAAAAATAAATAAAAATAAATAAAAATGCAAAAAGCCTCACTTCTAAAGAGGTGACTCCATCTTTCTCCACATTTATGTAGTTTGGAGTTTTGTTTTTTTAAGTAAGAGTGTCTTTGCCCGTCAACTATATGCTACGGAGCATATTATCAGAATACGGTGAGCACCTAATGTCAAGAGCAGTAATTTCCTACAGTTCTGTTTGCTGGAGGCAAACTTCTCTATGGATTTTCAAATGTCTAGTAAGAACTGATCTTATAACCTAGTCTTCATCAATTAGCTCTCTCTTTTCTCTATCCAACAACGTACCTCCTTAAAACTCACAGGAATTTGAAGTTTGAGATTTCTATACATATGGAATGGGTCTGAATATGGTCACTGGCTCAAAAGCTACTAGGACAAACAGAAATTAACAGTCTCTCATAAAGAGAAATTGTAATCTAGGAAGTAAAACATTATAAACTCAAGTGTTTTTCAGTTCATGGTTGCAACAGAAAATAATCTTTGTGGACCTGGAGTCCTTATGTTTCTAAATGGTACATAATATATATTATTCAATAAATTTAATTTAAAAAATAATCTTCAGATGAATTGTTGAACACCTTTACATGACTCTAGCGTCCATTGGAAATGTTTCTGGAAGGAAAAGGTACTGTTCTTGTTTCCTGACCAGTTACATATACCAGTTCAGGGCAATTATCTCCTGGCTACCTACCTTCTTTGGCAGTTGTGTTTGTAATGTTCTGTAACAAAGAGTGGATGTATCAAAAGTAACAGACAGTTTTTAAGTGCTATGGCGCCAAGCTACCAAAGCAGTGATTCCGCGCTTCAACTAAAGCGCTCCAGAGTAACACACTCTGCACCCGTGTGCAGCTGTACATGCTCAAATACTCATGAAAAAAATCATGCCCATGTGGTATAAAGGTTTTACAGGTATAATGTGGGGATGGCATGTTACATATTAATGACTTTGACATTCTTTTGAGGCAACTAACAAGGCTGTAAAAATATCTTAATATTGATGAAAATAGACTCCTACTCCTACTAAGGTACCAACTTCCAAAAAAGTGCAGAATCTGAGCAATTCCAGATGAGGAAAAAAAAAAGTTTCCTGTTACATACATCTCACTGCAAACTCAAAGCTATATCCCACTTCTACCACTGAAAACTCCCCATCTCTAGACCTACACCATTATGAAATTCACTACCTTGAAACTGTTTATGCACCGCAAACAGCAAAGCAAGCATATAATTGCTTTTTGTCTGAATGAAATATTTACACAAAAACACATCAGGAAACTAGGTGTAGGGAACTGGGGTCCTGGTTAACACAGGGGGGATAGAAGAGTGGACTAAAGTCAAGTACTAACAACTTGAAGAGAATATGCCATTCTAACACCATTAGAACAGTGAAGACTCTTCACTATCTACAGAAACATTAACACCATTCAAATAAAGTATTTAAAATACGACATATGCAATAACATCCCTCATTTTACTGGCCCATTGCTACTTAGAAATTTTTATTATTCTTTCAGCTACTATACCAAGTAGTGGATCAGGAACCTGACTAATGTTGTAAACCAGATAGACAGTGCCTCCCACAGAGAAATTTATAGTCTCAGTAGGAAACAAAAAGCAGATGGATACAGGCAAACATGAGAATATTAATAAAACACTGTTCAGCATGCTAAAGAGTGATTCAGTGCGCTAGCAACCGTAGACATAAACAGCAAAGAAGAATTTCAAGGCAAGCTCTAAAATAATATTTGCTCCAGTAGCGCTCATAAACGGATTTTCCCCTAACTTGAGGGGCACACTGGAAATAAATAAAAAACACAAAGCATAAAGATGTTTGGAAATGTCATGAGTGGGTAAGGAAGTCTCGAACTGCAAACCTATTTGAGGGCAAAAGCCCTTCTCTGAATCCTGACTGATACAAGAAGAGCCAGACAGCAAGAGACTCTGAGACAGCTGTTTATATTTAATGTGAAAGAGAATATGTTATCAGAATAAAGAAAGGGATAACACAGTCAAAGCGGTGGGTTAGGAGACGTTTGCAGCAGTATTTTCAAAGAATAAAGGTTGGATACGATGGCATTTCTTCAAGGTCAGAAAAAAAGAAAGCTGAACTTACTGATACACAAGCTGTCAAGGCCTGGGTGACAGCTTTAGTTAAGTGAATGGGTACATAAGGTTTTATTTGTCTATGAATCACATTTCTAAATCTGAAGGATTCGGAGACAATTTTAAAAAGAGATCCAGGTGACTGAGTAAGGGCAGGGCGATGGCAGCACCCCAAAAGATCAAGGAAAGAACTAACAAGAAAAACTCAGGAGATTAAACATTCACTTTCAGTTACGCTGAACTTAACTTGACAGCAACAATTCTTTAAGGAGATTTTAGAAACACGAGCACAAAATTTAACATGTGCAGACAGATCTGAAAATCATCCATGCAGAGACATAGCTGAATTTATTTTGGTAGAAGAGTTAGAAGAAAAGGAAGAAATGGAATCCCACAGATAGAAATGAATACCAAAGAAAGCTTTATAAAAATCACAGACATATTTTCCAACTGAATTTATGTTCTCTCCGATTTCTGGTTTAGTAAAAAAATTGAATTAATAAAGATTGATTCATAGCATCTCCAATTTGTTTTGGGAGCACGTCCATTTCACCGACCAGGTGTTAAAACTTTCCAGAGCAACAAGTACAAGAGAAAAAAGTAGTTGTAAAGAGAAAAGTATTATTCATGAGAAAAGTCAGCAAAGAGAGTACAAGTAGAAAAGGCTCAACTCATTTTAAATTGCTTATTTATCCTAACTTTTTCTATATTGTATAGCTCGCTTTCTGAAGCCTATCTTTTCAATCATAACCGTCAACAAGCAGAGTACAAGGCGTTTCATATATATTAGAAACAGTTTAAAAACAAAGACAACAAGAAGCAGCAAATTGCTCATACTGGTTGGTATTTTTTCAACAGTCTGTCCATTCAAACACACAAAAAGAATACTTAGTTAAAAACAAGATTTAGTTTCTCTTTCAGATGTTCTAGAAAGTCTTTTTCAGTCCAGTGTCATCAAATACTGTCACATACAGATCACAGCAGGATCCTGTGGTCATCATGGTTTACTAGGCTTCACTGAATATATAGAGATCAGTTCACCACATTGTTAGAACCTTCAACTCCAGCACAAGCCCTTAAGCCAAGTAAAAATTATCCTATGGTACAACTCAATTAGTTTTATGCATTCTCATTGAAAAAAACACTAACATTTAGTTCAAGTTGGTGATCCAGTGAGGTAGTACAAGGTTTTCTTCACTTTTAGACAGTGCACAAGTCCAAAGGAAGCATGTTTGTAAAGAGCTGGCTAGCACACCATATGGTTTCCAGAGTCAGGATGTCCTGACACGTACCACATAAGTTCGCAATTAAAAGTAAGCGGTAAGAAATGACAACTGCTGACGCAAGAGACTTACCAATCCACCAGAAATGGCATACATACCTTTCTTCAAAAGAAAATAGAGCTCAAACAAATAAACAAAACAAAAAAAATCTAAAAAAACAAACAAAAAAATCCTCCATACCACATTTTACAAACCAGCCCTCCCTAACACTATAGAAGCGGACATGAATCATATCACTGTGTGATTTGTATATTGTTATGACTGGAAGGAAGCATGTATATATTAAGCAAGCATTCAGGCTAAAAAATGAAAATGTCTCTCTCATTGAGGTAAGAAAGAAAAACCGCTTTTACTATCTCACTCAGGAAAAGTCCAAAGTATTTATTCCAGAATCACAGAAACAATGGAGCGCTATTACATTTGTTAATGAATAAAGGATTATCCTATCTATCAGAAGCAGACTGATACAATTAACTCAGGAACTTCCAGACAAGCTTACTCCAGTTCCTATGAAGGGCAGGAGGGGAATAAACAAACAACTCACCACCACCCCCCCTCAAAGAAACACCATCACTCATAACTCTGAAAACAACTTAATATACTTGGCAATATAGGTCATCGTGATCATGTTGCGACAATGCATCAAGCTCTTCTCTGGCTCCCTATTACATAAAAGGACTAGGTTGTTGTGTTACTAGTCTCACACTCTAAAGTACAGTCCCGCAGTGAGTAAACATGAACGCACTTGGAACTAAATGCTACCCAAGAGTAAAACTGGCTCACCATAGTTAAAGACCTGATTGCCAAAAGCTATCCAAGACATCACCTCTGTTTTTGACTACGATTTCCGCTGCAGATTTTTCACTAACTCTACCCTCAGTAGTACCTGAAGAGTCTGGGAGAGCCCCTTTTTGAAAAGATTTATCAGCATCAAAGGTTGGACTCCAACCCAAAGGCGAAAGTTTTCTTTTGGTATAATTTCCCCCCAACAATACCTGGAGTGGGGAAGATGTAAAAATAAATTATGCTATCTTGCCAAGTTTTTGCACAACACCAAGGAAAGGGAAGGAGAGAGAATCTAGGGTTTTGTTTTTTTTTTTTTTAAATAACATGAAAGGTGTTCACTATTATTGACAAAAGCTTTATGCAATAAATACCTAGCTAATCAACAACTTAAAAGTGTAACTGTTAAAATGAAATTTGACTTCAGCTGCAAGGCATTATTTCATACCATCTTCACAGATGAAAGTAATGGATTCCCATTGTATTTAGACAACAGATTTTTCATGGAAAACTATCTCCTGTTCACATTTTAAAGCAAATAAAAGGTTATACTGAAGGCTCTGGACAAAAGAACTTAGAATTTTCATTTAAGCAAAGTACAGTCACCTTGACACAATCTGTTTTAACACCTAATGCTAGTCAAAGACAATACAAGTAAAGTTACAGAGCTAAAACTGATTAGGTATCTAATTAGAAGGACATCTACTAAATGCCCAGTTTTCAGCTGCCGTGAACAGACAAGAGCAGAATATCAGTGCTTGCACACTTCTAAAATTACACTTTGAAAAGCTCTGCTAAACTAGTATCTTCTGCCATACGGTGCAAAAAGACAAAGTACCACAAAAATGTTCTGAAATACCACAGACAGGATAAAGGTAGCTCTACAGTAAGACATCATAACAATTCTCCAGAAAACCACAACATACAATGCTACCAGCTATGAATTTTGAAGAACTTAATGAGGGTGTGGCTAATCAGGAAAATGGATGAAATCTGAACATTATGCTCCTTTTCCATATACCCTCCTCCAGAAGCTACATTAACTGCAATGAATTGTAACTACCAAGCAAAAATTCCTCTGAAAGAAGCCATCTCATCAAAATACAAGTAGAGGTGACTGATTACCCAGTTTTTAACTGAGAAAGAAGGGCGTGCTCATTCAATAGCTCCCACACTGCAATCGTGCCATATGTTCCCACACTGGAGGAAAGCTACTCAAGCATAGCTGACTTTGGAGGGTCATTTATACTTTCTGTTGATTAGGAAAAGAGAAACCTCCATTTCTCCATTTATTTTCTGTGTAATATTTAAATTTTCATCCTTTTCCACAAGGAGTATAGACAGCTTGTAGATCTTTAAATCAACTTCTGTTTTTAATTGAAGGACCAAGATAATACGTTTAAGAATACCATGGTTATGATTGATGATACCCTTAACTGGATCCTCTGTGGAACAACGACATATAAGAGACTTGCGGGGTTGCACATCAGCAAAGAATAAACAACAAGCAGCGGTTCCAAGCTCATGAACTGCACTCTGTATGCAAATTTAGATGCTGCTGAAAACTTGGATGCTGACAAACATTAATTTAAACAAAATCATATTACTAAATGAGTTTCAGAGGTAATACAGCTTTTACTCAAGTATTGACTTTTACCAAGTCAATAACATGAGGTTTGGAGACACAATCTTTCTCTTAAGATAATATTAAATAGCAAATTAAATTGCTATCCATATTTTACATAGTCAAACAACTGAGTGGGCCACGACAAAGCAACTGAACAGTTTAGACAATATACTGTTACTCTTCACAATAGAACATATAATCACATTCAGGCCCAATACAAAAAAAAAAAAAAAAAAACAACAATTGTTCAAAACAAGTCACAAGTTTACTGGGTGGAAACCTACATACGTAGAATGTGCACAACAAAGCTGCCAACTCTAAACAGCCAGAGCAATAAAGTAACTAAACTACTCCCATGCTTACACAATAAGCATTCCCCCTTAAGTCATCTTCAAGATAACCACTATCTCATAATAGAAAAACATGGCTAGTTTCTAGATTATAAAATCATTACGTTCAAAATCTTATAAAAAAACCATCCTGTACATTTAAGTACTATTAATAGGAAGATTTAGAGTTATTTGTAAACAATAACTCTTACAGGATATGAATTTTTAAAAATAGTAATTTGCTTGCTATAAGTTTAAAAATAAATGATGGACACAATACTAGCACTGGAAAGCAGGTCTAGCCTTCCAAACCGTAAAAGGAATATCATTCTTTCCACTGTAAAGGAACTGAAAAAAATATTTTGGGCTCTTAATGGTAAAGCCACCCTTTGCCCATGAAAAAAACTGCAGAGAAACTGCATATTGATGATAACAGTTGATACCTCACTAATAATGCATTAAGTATCGTAAATTCATATCAAAAGCCTATTAGCAAACCTGTAAAAGTATAGGTTCCAGCGGATAAAGAATAAAAAGGAAGATTTTGGTATGAGATACACATACAGGTAACATTTCACATTCATTTATAACAAGAGGAATTATTTTTGTCTTCTCTGCAAGTAGGCTGCTTACAGCGACGTTTACTAACAGGGCTGTACCACGGCAGCATCCCAACATTCTGTCCTATTAAAGAACTCTTTCAGAATCTATATGCTTGATTTTTTTTTAAACTGGTAACAGAAGTTTAAAGAGAAGACACTAAGCAGAATTGCAGCCTTGTGTCTATTCTAACAGCTGAGACATAAACCCATGAAATACAAACATTATCATGTAGTCTTAACAATTTTAAGGCATGACATAGTACTATTTTTGCAGACAGAAGTTTGCATGGCATCTCCAACGAAGCAGTTTTTACACACACCATAAAAACAGTCCCACAATATAGTTTTTATAGAATAGCAGTATTTGCAGTACTGGTTAAGCCCTTATCATTGAAAACAAATTTTACTTCATGTAGAAAATCTCACCTGTTACAGTAGAGAAAAAGAGAAGAGGGAGAAAACAGAAGGAAGAAAAGTATAACATAGGAATTTTAAGAAAGAAATGGAAAGCAGGAATTACTGAACTGTGCTCCTAGTTTTGAACACTGCTCTTTCTTCATTCTTTGGTCAAGTTAGTAGCTTTGCTTTGTTTCCATTCTCCCAAAGCCTTGCATATCTAAAATGGGAGAAAATTTTAGCCACTTCACTGGAGGAAAAAGATGGTTATCATAGCAATTTAGTTAAAGAACAAACAAGACTGATTACAAGAAGCAAAACAGGCCTCAAAACCACAATCTTACCATTGGTGGCATCCCACCAACTGCAGAGCCTGCTGCTTTTGCTAGGTATTAATTTGGTCAGTGACCCATCACAGAAATCAATCATAGGACAAACTCCAGAAATGGGATTTGAAGCAACAGTCCACTGGGCAGGTTTCTATTTCTGATTTTAATCCCTGGTTTTGATTTAGGCAGAGGAGAAAGTGACTTTCCTGTGCCTACTGCTGCATACGGCTATGAGACTTAACATTTGTTTGCCAACACATTAAATTTGCTCAAACGCATCCTTTCACTATAAGTACCAAATGTTAAAAACTCAAGCAGCAAGCTACAGCATTCTCACACTATGACATCATCCTGTCTGGTATACTTTAATATGATTTAGAAATAAAATCTGATTAACCGACAGTAGCTTAAAGAGGATACATTAAAGATCCAAATTGAGGACACTTATCCAGTGAAATGAAAAAGAGAGCACAAGTGCAATGTCCAGCCTTTCCAATGAATTCTACAGAACAGCCCACACTGGCTGTTTTGATGCTCTGCTCTAATAGTGGCAAATATAGTTATCCTATAAAAGCTGACTAAAAGCAACCCACAAGTCTAAGCAACAAGATTAAGATTTTCTGGGATCCACAGATACACAAGCCAATCAGGGGATATTACTATATAGATTTGTAAATGGTCTGACACAGGGAGAAATCAAGCTGTACATTCCCTA